ATCTGAGATGTGAAGACTTGAAAAGAAAAAAAAATTGGCAAAATATCTAAACAGATACCTCAGCAAAGAAGATAAACAAATGACAAATAAGCTTATGAAAGGAATATTCAATATCCTCCTCCTATTTGAAAGTATATATTTTTGTTAACTATAATATAGTCATCCCACAGTGCTATAGAACACTAGAACTTATTCCTTTTATCTAGATAGTTGTAATTTTGTGTCCCTTCACAAATCTCTCCCTATCTATACCCACTTCTCTACCACAAATATGTTCTGTTCTACTTTTTACTTCTATGACATCAACTTATCCTGGCTTCCGCATGTGAGAACATGCGGTGTTTCACTTTCTGTTCCAGCCTTATTTCACTTAATATTCTGTCCTCCAGTTCCATCTATGTCACAGTGAATGACAGGATTTCATTCTTTTTGTGGCTGAATAATATTCCATTGCGTATGTGTGTGTGTGTGTGTGTGTGTGTGTGTGTGTGTGTGTGTATAACATTTAAAAATTCATTCGTCTATTGTTAGACACCTAGGTTGATTCCATATCTTAGCTGTTATGAATAGTGCTGCAATAAACATGGGGATGAGGATGTCTCCTCAACATACTGATTTCCCTTCCTTTGGATAAATGTCCAGTAGTGGGAGCACTGGATCATATGGTAGTTCTATTTGTAGTTTTGTGAGGAACCTCCATACTGTTCTCCATAGTGGCTGTATTAATTTACATTTTCATCAACAGCATATTAGAGTTTACTTTTATCTGCATGCTTGCCAGGATTTGTTATTTTAGCCATCCTAACTGGGATGAGATGATACTTCATTGTGGTTTTGATTTGCATTTCTCTGACGATTAGTGTCATTGAGCATTTTTACTTATGTTTCATGGCCATTTGTATGTCATCTTTTGAGAAATGTCTTATTAATATCATTTGCCCATTCTTTTTTTTTTTTTTTTTTTTTTTTCTGAGAGGGAGTCTTGCTCTGTTGCCCAGGCTGGAGTGTGCAGTGGCACAATCTTAGTTCAATGCAACCTTTGCCTCCCAGATTCAAGTAATTCCTACCTGCCTCAGCCTCCTGAGTAGCTAGGATTACAGTCATGCACCATTGTGCCCAGCTAATTTTTGCATTTTTAGTAGAGACAGGGTTTCATCATGTTGGCCAAGCTGGTCTCAAACTCCCGACCTTGTGATCCACCTGCCTCGGCCTCCCAATGTGCTGGGATTACAGGCATGAACCACCCTGTCTGGCTAATTTGTCCATTCTTTTTTTTTTTTTTTTTTTTTAATTTTTTAGAAAAAAGGGTGGCCGGGCGTGGTGGCTCAAGCCTGTAATCCCAGCACTTTGGGAGGCCGAGGTGGGTGGATCACAAGGTCAAGAGATCGAGACCATCCTGGTCAACATGGTGAAACCCTGTCTCTACCAAAAAACAAAAAATTAGCTGGGCATGGTGGTGCATGCCTGTAATCCCAGCTACTCAGGAGGCTGAGGCAGGAGAATTGCCTGAACCCAGGAGGCGGAGGTTGCGGTGAGCCGAGATTGCACCATTGCACTCCAGCCTGGGTAACATGAGTGAAACTCCGTCTCAAAAAAAAAAAAAAAGAAAAAGACAGGGTTTCACCATGTTGGTCAGGCTGGTCTTGAACTCCCGACCTCAGGTGATCCACCCACCTTGGCCTCCAAAGTGCTTGGATTACAGGCGTGAGACACCATACCTGGCCTATAGGAAGGCGATTTTAGGAGGCACCAGTTGGCCAGTCTTTCTTCTATTGAAATGCAGTGTGGAAGTCAAGGGGGAGGTGATCTTAGATGCTTGGGTCTCCTTCCGCACCAGTACTAAGTCAAATAAAAGTGGCAAAAGCGGGCATCCTTGACTTGTTCTTTTTTTTTTTTTTTTTTTTTTTTTTTAAATAAAGACGGGGTTTCACCATGTTGGTCAGGCTGGTCTTGAACTTCCAACCGCAGGTGATCCACCCACCTTGGCCTCCAAAGTGCTTGGATTACAGGCATGAGCCATCATGCCCAGCCTGTTCTTGTTCTTAGAGGGAAAGCTTTCAATCTTTCGCCATTGAAAACTGTGGACATTTTCTACATGGCATGCGTTATGTTGAGGTGGTTTTCTTATATTTATAGTTTGTTGAATGCCTTCTTCATTAAAGAGTGTTAATTTTGTTAAATGCTTTTCTGCATCAATTGAAATTATCATCTCCTTTTAGCACTTCTTAGAGAAGAGTGAAATAACTCCCATATTACCGTAATCATACTAGTCTTTGTGTTGTGATGTTATGCAGAAAATGGTGCTTCATAAAGCATTGGATAATTGTACAACAGTCTTATGTATGGGAAGAGAAGTAAAATGTAGTCATCTAAAAGTCATTATGCAGCTATCGATTTGAAAAAAAAAAAAAAAAAAGAAAAAAGTCACTAGTCCAATAAAAACATTTTCTTTGAAACTTTTCTTGAACCTCAAACTAGCTAGTAAAACTTGACAAAGTGGAGCTGGGTGTGGTGCTTGTGCCTGTAAGTTCAGTACTTTGGGAGGCCAAGGAGGAAGGATCCCTGGAGCCCAGGACCAGCGTGGGCAACATAGAGAGACCCCGCCTCTATGGGCGTGGTGGTATGTGCCTGTGGAAAAAAGTGCCAGTGTTTCAAAGGGGTTGTATGAACTTGCAGTCTTAGCAGTGTACGAGAGTTACAGTTGCTATATTGATCATTTTTATTTAAACTATTCTGGTGGTAACAATAATACTGTATTGTGGTTTTAATTTGAAATTCCCTTCTATTCAGGGAAGTTAAACACAGATCTTGCAAAAGTTTATTGACATTTAGGAATCCCCTTTTGCGAAGTGTCTGTGTCAGTTTTTTTCTCATTTTTTCGCAAGATTGTCTGCTTCTTCTTTATTGTTATAATACAAGTTCTCTATAAATTCTAGATGTGAGTTCTTTGTCAGATATATAAATTACAGTCCTGTTTTGCCTTTCTGTGGCTTTGTTGTTCACTCTCTAATGGTATCTTTTCTTTTCTTTTTCTTTCTTTTTTTTTTTTTTTTGAGATGGAGTCTCACTCTGTCACCCCTGCTGGAGTGCAAATGGCATGATCTCGGCTCACTTCAACTTCCACCTCCTGGATTCAAACAACTCTCCTGCCTCAGCCTCCTGAGTAGCTGGGATTAGAGGTGCATGCCACCATGACTGGCTAATTTTTGTATTTTTAGCAGAGACAGAGTTTCCCCATGTTGGCCAGGCTGCTCTCAAACTCCTGACCTCAAGTGATCCTCCCACCTCGGTTTCCCAAAGTGATAGGGTTACAGGTGTGAGCCGCCATGCCTGGCCTCTAATAGCATCTTTTGAGGAACAGATATTCTTACTATTGATGAAGGCCAATTTCTCATTTTTGTTTTTCCTTTAGTATATCCTATAACTTGAGGATCTTGAATTAATCCCAAGTCATTAAGGTATTGTTTTCTTCTAAAAGCTTCATTATTTATCTTTTATATTTAGATTGCAGTCCACCTGGAATCAATTTTGTAAATGGCGTGAGACTGGGGTCAATGTACATTTTTTTCTTCTTATGACTTCTCAAATGACCCAGCACTATTTTGTGAAGACCAATCTTCCCCTACTGCACTACTGTATCTATCCTCACCACTTTTTTTCTTTCTTTGAGTCAGAGTCTCACTCTGTCGCCCAGTTTGTGGGTGCAGTGGTGCAACCTTGACTCATTGCAACCTCCACTCCTCGGTTCAAGCGATTCTCCTGCCTCAGCCTCCCGAGTAGCTGGGACTACAGGTAAGTGCCACTATGCCCACCTAATTTTTGTATTTCTAGTAGAGACGGGGTTTTGCCATATTGGCCAGGCTGGTCTCGAACTCCTGACCTCAAGTGATCCGTGGGCCTTGGCCTCTCAAGGTACTGGGATTACAGGCCTAATGCTAAAACTACTCCATTCTATGGCACTCCCTTAACTTTGCCATTCTTCCATCTGCGTATTTGGGTTGCTTTCCAGTCTCTGCTATTATCAAACAGAAGGAATACTTTGTACGGACATCAAGTCATTTTTCTGCAATTATTAACCCAGAAGTAGAATTTCCAAGCTAGAAAATATTTGCTTTTTTGGAAAATTAATAAATTATATAGTTCAAAACTCAAAGAATATAAAGAGGACCAGTGAAAAGGCTGCCTTCTATCCCGCCCCCCTATCTATCTTTCCAGTTCCTCTTCCACTGGGTCACCCCACTCAGGAAATCTTGTGTATCTTTCCAGATATCTTGTAAGGATGACAAGCACTGTTTACATTCTTTTCTCCTTTTGTTTACACAGCCAGTGGTACTCTATACACTCTATCCTGCATCTTGCCTTTTTCTTTATTTTTTTTTTTAAATAAAGATGGGGTTTCACCATGTTGGTCAGGCTGGTCTTGAACTCCCTACCTCAGGTGATCTGCCCGCCTTGGCCTCCAAAGTGCTTGGATTACAGGCGTGAGCCACCACCCCCGGCAGCCTTTTTCATTTAACAACCTATTTTAGAAATCTTCCCATTGCTGTACATAAAAAGACAAATAATATTTAATATGAAGGATGTACCACCATTTAGTCATCTATTGATGAACAGCTGTGTTGTTTCCAATAGTTTGCCATTGAAATAATGTTGCAATGGAATAACTTTGCACCTGTCATTTCACATGTGTATAACGTGTCTATGGGGAAATTACTAGAAGTGGCTTTGCTGACTCTGAGTCTATACATTTGTGATCTGATCAACATCGTCAAATTATAATGCCACCAGCAATGTATGAAAGTGCTGGTTTTCCCGTAGCTTGGTTAATGAACTATTAGACCTGAAATCTTTAGCCATCCAGTATGTGGAAAACTGTAGTTTTCGTCTGTATTTGTTTATTTTGCGTGAAGTTGAGCATCCTTTCAGAAGTTTAAGGCCCACTCTGTCCAGTATGGGTCAGAGTATGCCCTTTTAAAAAGCTGTGGGTACACGTAGCCAACTGACATTTTAAGACAGGAGGCCTAACAGATCCTGTCTCCACAACGCAGCTCTGCGCCTGTCTTCATCATCATTGTGTTTGTGTCTCAGAGGTAGAGAATAGCACCTGCGCGCGGTGGAAGACGGAACGTCTACTTACAGCTGCGGAGCTTCCGGCCTGCGGGGGAAAGGAGCCCGCCCCTCCCGGCTGCGCGCGCACGCGCAGTTAGTCACGTGATGCTGGGGCGGGGCAGATGGGCGGTACCGGCCGCCATTGCTCCGTCGACGCTGTCGCCGGCAAGCGGTCAGCGTGTGTGTTTTTGTTTTGTTTTGTTTTTTATACCGGATTAAGCATGCTGCTGCGTGACAGCAGAGGGTTAGGAAAAGGCGTAGTGGAGCCTGGAGCGGTCGTCCCCGACTCGACGCAGCTTCCGTTCTCCTGGTGACGTGGCCCACAGGACCCGCCCCAGTGGTCTGCCGCAGCCCTATTGCTAGGCAACAGCGTGCGCGCGCTGATCGGCGCGGGGCAGAGAAGTGGGATTTGGAAGCTTAGGGGCACAAGCCCAGCGACTGCACCGGGATGGACCAGTACTGTATCCTGGGCCGCATCGGGGAGGGCGCCCACGGCATCGTCTTCAAGGCCAAGCACGTGGAGGTGAGGCCGGACCGCTGCTGGCAGCCTGGCGGGGTAGCGCTCCCGCCTCCCTCCGGCGAACGCTCTAAGCCGCTTCGGTTCCCTTTTACTTCCAGTACAGTATTTAAAACCTGCTCATATTCTAAACCTCCTTTGGGCCGTTGGGCTTCCCTCCCGACAGCTGTCTTGGTCTCCTACCCCAGCGGCTGGGTGCCAGGCTAGTCCTAGACCGCTGAGAAGGGCCTCTGGCCTACCCAGGGCGCGTGTCTCTCTCTCAACCACCCTCCCCCAACCCACCGTCAGCTCTCTTTCCCAGCCGAGGAAAGAGCTGGGCTGGCATTGTCTGCCTTCTATCCTGCAGACTGGCGAGATAGTTGCCCTCAAGAAGGTAGCCCTACGGCGGTTGGAGGACGGTATCCCTAACCAGGCCCTGCGGGAGATTAAGGCTCTGCAGGAAATGGAGGACAATCAGTATGTGAGTAGGGGATGGGGGATATCGCATTCTCGCCCTCCTTCGCTTGTTCTCACTTCCTTGTGCCTTCATTTTCCCCACAGCTACGCCTCCACCAGCTTTCAGAGATTTCCTCCCCCTGTCAGTCACACATATGCTCATTCATCTGCCTCCTTAATCCCTTTTGCCCTTTTTTGTTCACTTGTTCACCTCATTTACCTCATTCTTTCATTTCTCATACATTCACTCTCATTTATCCACTTCTTAATGTATTCATTCATTCACCGACTTTTTTTCTCAAGACATTTAGTGGTTTATAATATAACTGGCACCTGTTGAGCTCCCATGTGTTCTGTGGGCGTTGCAGACATTGTCATTTTGATACCTCTTTACTACTCTACAAGGCAGGTTTCAGTTTCTCTGTTTCTCAGGTGAGGGGAGGAGGTTAAGTCACCAGCTCGTGGGCCCTCAGTTGGTCAGTAGAGAGTTTGGCCTAGGTTTGATTGAGAGTCCAGACATTCTTTCCTTGGGGCCTCCCATAGGCCCTGCGCTGTGTTGGGCACTGGTGACGCAGAGAAATTAGCTCCAAGCCCGCTCCTGAGGATGTAAGTGTGCCAGCAAGAGACAGGCAGAGGCAGCAGGGCTCACCTAGTGTGGTTTGTGCTGTGATAGCGTTTGAGGAGGGGCTACTGGAACACGAGCAGGGGCATCTTTCATCTCCAGTGTCATTACTCTTTTGGTGCTGTCTCTTATCCGTGTTGAAACAGGGAATGTATTCGACTCCCTGGAGAGTAACAGAGTTTGGTCTCTGTGATCATCTGACTTATCTTTGCTGCTCCCTGGAGGTATTCATGATATATTGGATGACAAAAAAGCATGTTATAACACTTTGTGTCATCTGGGTTTTGTTTGGAAATATTATATATGTGAATGTGTATTTGTGTGTGCTATATCTGTTGCAAAGTCTGGTAGAGTGCACTGTAAGATTGACTGTAGGATTTTTCTTTTGTTCTTTTTTTTCTTTCTAATTTCGTGTCTTACCTGAATGTGTGGATGTGTTTTGATCTGTTAAATGGTTGTGTACTACCCGAAAAATCAGAAAACAGCAATCAGGCCATTTTGATTTTTTTTCTTTTTACTTTTTTTTTTTTTTTTTTTTTTTGAGATAGAGTCTTGCTCTGTTGCCTAGGCCAGAGTGCAATGGCATGATCTCTGCTCACCACAACCTACGCCTCCTGGGTTCAAGCAATTCTCCTGCCTCAGCCTCCAGAGTAGCTGGGATTACAGGCACCTGCCACCAAACCCGGCTAATTTTTGTATCTTTAGTAGAGATGGGATTTCACCATGTTGGCCAGGCTGGTCTCGAACTCCTGACCTTGTGATCCACCCTCCTCGGCCTCCCAGAGTGCTGGGATTACAGATGTGAGCCACTGTGCCCGTCCCTATTTTGATTTTTGAGGAAGATAAAAGGGCTTCCAGACAGCCATGTGTGGGATAGGTGGAAAGAGATCCATAAGGAAGCTGGTGATATGGTGATATGGTCCCTGCATCCAGTTGGTCAGGAATTCTGAAGTTTCTAACCTTAAAACATACTCCAGATTTGCTCCCTGCCCAAGTCATCACCACCACTCATCAGAACAACAGTGGCAGCCTTCCCACTGCTCTCCATAGCCACAGTCTAGAGAGCTTTGTCAAAAGTGTAAGTCAAGTCATCTGCTCCCCTGCTTTTAAAGAGCCCTGGTGGCTTCTCTTTACACTTAGAGCACAATCACCATGTACCCACCTCCAGCTGGCCTCTCCCTTTTCTCTCATTCAATACAACTTCTTAGGCATCTCAGGGACCAGCACCTATCTAGGATCCAGGAGCACAGAACAGGGCAGACATATCCTTTCCTTAAACAACCTCATGTTCTCACATCTCTCTAGCCTCCCTGCACTTGCTTCTCCCCCTGCCCAGAGCTTCATCTCAGATCCCCACAAGCTGGGTCCTCATCTAGCCCCACCCCATCTAAATAAAGAAGTATCCTTTTCTCCGTTCACACAGAATCACACTATCCTCTCTTCTATTTCTGTTTTTTTTTGTTGTTGTTTGTTTTTTTTTTTTTTTTTTTTTTTAATACAGGATCTCACTCTCACCCAGCTGGAGTGTAGTAGTGTGATCTTGGCTCTGTGTAGTCTCAGTCAGTCAGTCTCCTGGGCTCAGGTGATCATCCCACATCAGCCTCTCAAGTAGCTAGGACTACAGGCATGTGCCACCATGCCTGGCTAATTTTTTGTAGAGACAGGCTTTCACCATGTTGTCCAGGCTAGTCTCAAACTCCTGGATTCAAGCCATCCACCCATGTTGGCCTCCCAAAGTGTTGGGATTACAGTCATGAGATGCCATGCCTGGCCTTCTTCTATTTCTGCTCCTGTGCTTACAGAATTTGAATATATCCCATTTGTTCATTTATTTGTTAGTCCTCTGTGCTGTGAGTTCCTTAAGAGTCCTGTCTATCAGCTCTGTGTAGCCTGACTCCTCTGACGGTGGTGGCCTCAGTGTTGTGATGTGTCTGTAGCTGTCCCAGCACTGGGAAAGGTGGGATTTCTGGTGTCCTTTCCTTGGTGCTGGGATTCGATGGCTCTAGAGGAAAAAGGAGGAGACCTGTGAGTCCATCTCATGTGTGACCATCCAGATGATTTTCAGGCAGGTGGGCTGGGTGGGTGGACCAGATGCTGCCACTAAATGACCTTCTTTAGACCTTTTCCCTGAGTGTTCATGGAGAATTAGAGTGGGGGCCCACCTTATCTCAGGAGAGCAGAGCAAGTCATGAGCACGGAGCTTTCCGATTCTTAGCTCAGGTCCCATGTCACCTTCTCTGTCTACCTGGTTCTCTGTCAGGGCCTAGGCTGGGGTCTCAGTCACAGAGAGGGTCTGGTGATTGGAATCTAGGGGCTAACAGAATGTCCTGCCCACAGGTGGTGCAGCTGAAGGCTGTGTTCCCACATGGTGCAGGCTTTGTGCTGGCCTTTGAGTTCATGCTGTCGGATCTGGCTGAGGTGGTGCGCCATGCCCAGAGGCCACTAGCCCAGGCACAGGTCAAGAGCTACCTGCAGATGCTGCTCAAGGGTGTCGCCTTCTGCCATGCCAACAACATTGTGCATCGGGTCAGTCTCAGCATAGGCCGGGGGTGGGGTCTGGGGAGCTGACTCGACTTGGGGATGGGGCTAGCCCTTGTAAAAAGCATGACGAGAAGTGGGGACAGAGCTGGTCAAGGCCTCCAGGTAAGCAGCCTGGGCACAGCCCTGGAGGAGGCAGGGACCATGGTTTACCTGGGTGGTTAGATTGCCAAGCCCTCTTGTCCCAAGGTCCTGTGGGAGATTTGGAGGGACTGATCCTTCCTTTGGCACTCTCAGGACCTGAAACCTGCCAACCTGCTCATCAGTGCCTCGGGCCAGCTCAAGATAGCGGACTTTGGCCTGGCCCGAGTCTTTTCCCCAGATGGCAGCCGCCTCTACACACACCAGGTGGCCACCAGGTAGGGAGGGCCAGATCCCTTCCAGCCCTCGCCATGGGGAAGAGATGTTTCTGGGCCTTTTCTCCAGACATTGCTGTGGGGCTGGGGTCACCTCCCCAGGCATTCTTTTCTCAGCCCAGTGCCCAGCTCTCTTCCTCGCAGGTGGTACCGAGCCCCTGAGCTCCTGTATGGTGCCCGCCAGTATGACCAGGGCGTCGATCTGTGGTAAGACCCCCATGGGTGGTCAAAGGGTAACATGGCTCATGGATTTCTGCTAGGCTCTGAGGTCTCTGAGCTGTTTGGTGGTCTTTTCCATGGTGGGAGTTTAGGCTCCCTTAAGGGTGTCTTCCCTGGTTGGAGTATTCTGAACACTTCGGGGTTGGGGTCCTCACTATGATGTCTTTGAGCTAGGTGGGGGTCAGGTGGGATGAGAATGGTGGTTCCAGGTAGGAAGCTTTCGGGGCTAAGTGGGGAGGCGGTCTGAGCTGGTATGTGCTGGAGTTAGATTCCAGGATATGGTATCTCTGAGCTTGTCAGTGGCCTGTATCCTTGGACATGAAAGCTCTGAGCTTGTTTTGCAAGAAGAAGATCGTTGGCCGTGCCCATGGGTCTGAGATTTGGGGCAGGTTTGCAGGTCTGCCCCAGAAAGTGCAGGGGAGCTGTGTGTCCTAGAGTAGGAGTCTCTGAGAAGTCTTGGAACAGCTGGGACTTCGCTCTGGGTTCTAGGGTTGAGGGCTTTGAGGGTTCAGGGACTGGGCCCCTGGACATGAGGCTCCAGGGCTGGCTTGTGGGAGCCTTGCCCTGGAGTGCGGTGTTAGAGCTGCGCTGTGGGTGGGTCTGTGGTCCATGGTGGGAGATCTCTGAGCTGCTTGGGACTCTGTCCACAGGGCCGTGGGCTGCATCATGGGGGAGCTGTTGAATGGGTCCCCCCTTTTCCCGGGTGAGAACGACATTGAACAGCTTTGCTGTGTGCTTCGCATCTTGGGCACCCCCAGCCCTCAAGTCTGGCCGGTTTGTAGGGCCCCTTGGTGGGATGGGTGTGGGGCAGATTTACTCCACTCCCCAACAGCAAGTGAGCACTCCCTCCCCTGAACCTTCTCTCTCCTGGCCCCAACCCCCCCTTGATGGACAGGGACCACTGTCCTGCCCCAACTGAGGGATTCTTCCTCCCTGCTGTCATGCAGGTTTGGGGGTAGGTCTTGTCCTTTGTCCCCTTCCACCCCAGTATACACATGTGCACTGTCTCAGCAAGCTGGGCACAGAGCTGCCATCTGAGGGCAAGGGGATGGATGAAGGAATGTAGGGGTGGTTGAGTGGGTCGGGGAGACACATGGTGAGAGAGCACCCCCAACATGAGGGTGTGTTAGGGGCTGAGAGCTGACAGCAGAGGGTGTGGTGAGGGTCGGGGACTACTCTCATGGACCCTGTTCCTTCTCTCTGGCCCAGGAGCTCACTGAGCTGCCGGACTACAACAAGATCTCCTTTAAGGAACAGGCACCCGTGCCCCTGGAGGAGGTGCTGCCCGATGCCTCTCCCCAGGCATTGGACTTGCTGGGTCAGTTCCTCCTCTACCCTCCTCGCCGGCGCATCGCAGCCTCCAAGGTAAGGCGAGAGGCTGGGGTCTCTGCTCCTTCAGTTCCCCTCCCCATCACCCTGGTATTCTGTACTTGGTAGCCACGTGACCCCATCAAGTCAGCGGCTCTCAGAAGTCAGCAGCACCAGGAATCTGGAACCCAGGGGACAGGGACCTTGGAGCAGGTGTGCCTCTCCTGAGCAGACCCCACTGGACATCCCTAGAGTTCTCCTGAGGGTGGCCTCTAAGAGGGGCGTGCCCACCTCACAGGAGAGCACATGTCCGGGGGTGCTGACTTCTGGGCTGCCTCTGATCCTGTAGGGGGAGCACTGGGGACTCGTTCCTTCATTCCTTTAGCAAGTATTTTCTGTACATCCTCACGTGGCAGGGGTTGTCCTGGGCCCCACAGAGATGGTGAACAATCAGACCTGCCTCCATGGGGCACTCCTAGTGGTAAGGTAGCTCCAGGCCCAAAAGGTCACAAGAGATTGTGGTGTCCCGGTGTGGGAGCCCCAGAAGAGAGGTGAGGCCGACTTTGGGGTCAAGCCATGCTTTCTGGTGGAGGGAAGGTTTAAGCATGAGATGTTTGAGGAGGTGTTTGCTGAAGAGAGAAATGGTGGGCAGATGCCTGGAGGAGAGGACCAGGGAAGGCTGGTTATGGCTGGAAGGCCCGGGAGGACGATGAGGACCACAGGATCATGGGCTGACAGGTGTCAGGGCGTGTCTCTCAGGGGTCCCTGTCCCCTCTCTGCACGCAGCACCAACAGCATGTGTTTATACATGCCCTCTTGGTCTCCACTGTCAGCAGCTCCTGTGGGCTCTACATCCACAGTGCACCCCAGCCATCTGACCCTTATCTCCTGATTGCCTCCTAGAATCTGGGTCTCCCCTCATCCCATTTAATCTCTTCTCCACCTGGCAGAGAGAGTAACTTTATCCAAATAGAGCAGGACACATTCCTGCTCTGCCAGGGCCCTCCTATGGCTCCATTTCAGAGGAAAAGCCAGGGTCCTTTCTGTGGCCCACAGGTGTTGCATGTTTGGGTGCCATCACCTCATGACGCTGCCAGCTATTGTGCCCTGTGCTCACTGCTTTCCTGCCCCAGGGCCTCCTTCACACACCAGGGCATCCCCTGGGGTCTGTATACTTGTCTCTGCCCTGGAACCTCATGTCCCACTTGCTCATGTCTCAAGTCTTGGCTAAAATGTCACCCCTCAGATGGCCTTCCCTCATGATGCTTCAGATCTGTAACCTCTCTCCAGGATTCCTCATTCCTCTCTCTTGCTGTCCCTTTCCCACTGCACTAATCATTATCTGACATATGGTGTATTTTACTTCATCTTGTTTATTACTCCCCACCCCTACCTACGTCAGAAAGACAGAGCTTTTGTCTGTTTTATTAACGGCTATGTCCCCAGCTTCTGGAATAGTGCTTCAGACATAGTAGACACTCAGAAAATACCCAGACACTGAGTCCACTGAATGCATAGATGAAGGAACATCTGCCTGAGGCTGAGGACAGGGAGGTGACTGGTTTCCTTCTGCTGTTCCTTACTTGCCACCCCCAGGCTCTCCTCCATCAGTACTTCTTCACAGCTCCTCTGCCTGCCCATCCATCTGAGCTACCTATTCCTCAGCGTCCAGGGGGACCTGCCCCCAAGGCCCATCCAGGCCCCCCCCCACGTTCATGACTTCCACGTGGACCGGCCTCTTGAGGAGTCGCTGTTGAACCCGGAGCTGATTTGGCCCTTCATCCCGGAGGGGTGAGAAGCTGGCCCTGGTCCTGTCTGCCTGTGCCTAAGGACCACCCAGTCCACTTGTTCCTCTGCCACCTGCCTGGCTCCACCCTCCAAGGCCTCCCCATGGCCACACTGGGCCCACTCCACATCACACCCTGCCCCTTAACCCTTGTGAGGGCTGGTCTTGAGGCAGAGGTTATGCTCCTAGCCAAGATCATGACAGCATCCAGCCCAGCAGAGGAGATTCACAGCCTGTGCTTGGTGAGTCTGTGTGCTGCCGACCTACCCATCAGAACAGTGAGCTCTGCTGCCAGTCAAGGCCTGCCTGTGCAGAATGGCAGTGCCTGCCTTGGTGCTGCTTCCCTAGGTGTCGCCTCCTGGTCAAGGAGAAGTGCAGAGAGTAAAGCGTCCTCATGTTGGAAACGCAAGTGGAAGGATGAGTTGGTTCTATTCTCAGAGATATTAAACAGTAACTAGTTCAGTATATGAGGTTATAGATTCTAAAAACCTTAAGTGTCTCTGTGTTATGTCTGTTCCTCCTCCATTTCTCTCAAGGGAAATAAATAAAGTGGCATTGTCTCATGGCCCTCATTTTTGGGGGGTTCCTGGGCAAGGTGGCACCAAGCACAGGCACTTTTGCCCTGAGGGCCTCTTGTGTGCTTCCTATGACTGAGCACTCATTCGGAAGTGAGGGAGACGGAAGTCTAGGCCCAGGGATGGCTCCAGCTGGGGATCCAGCAGGAGACCCTCCATACTGAGGCTGGTTTACCGACATCTGCTCTCTCAGGATGAGTGTGAGCCAGAAGCAGCTGTGGATTTAAGGAAACAAGCATTCCTGGAATTCATTCTTTAATTTAATAAATCTCAATATAATCCCAGCCAGCTCTTTTTCCTTATAATAATTTGACTGATGAGGTGATGGTAAAAGATCCATTACAGTGCAAAGGGCCAAGAGAAGGAAGTGGAACCATGCAGAAGAGGAAATGATGGAAGGACTTGCGGTATCAGATACCAATATTTAAAAGTTTATATAAGAAGTAAGACAGCATGATGTGGTTCAAGGAAAAAAACAGATACACTAGAGAAACTTATTCGTAGCAATCTTTTATTTTTAAAATGTTTATTATATGCTTCATGTGGATAAACTCTTCTATGAGCACTGAGGGTGACTAACACTATTAAAGACGCTGGCCTCCAAACACTTAGTGGAAAGATAAAACCTATTAAAACCCCCATTCTTGCTTTCAGGAAAGTCTGATGTTTTTATGATCTGGCCTCTGTTTATTTCTCCAGCCACATCTACAGACTGTAAGCTACTAAGAGAACTTCAAAGAGAACTCTTAAATGTATATCACATTTGCAAGTAAAAGGATAAAAAATGATTACCATGCATACACACACCAAAATTCTGGTGTAGTTATTTGATATCAAACAATAGAGCCCGGGTGCGGTGGCTCATGCCTGTAATCCCAATACTTGGGGAGGCTGAGCTGGGCAGATCACCTGAGGTCAGGAGTTCAAGACCAGCCTGGCCAACATGGTGAAATCCCATCTCTACTAAAAATAACAAAAATTAGCCAGCTGTGGTGGTGCATGCCTGTAATCCGAGGCTGAGGCAGGAGAATCGCTTGAACCTGGGAGACAGAGGTTGTGGTGAGTTAGAGATCATGCCACTGTACTGTGGTCTGAGCAACAGAGTGAGAGTCTGTCTCAACAACAACAACAACAAAAACAGATTTTAAGGCAAAGAACAGTTATTTAATAAAAGATACAATTTCAAGACAAAAATAATTACTAGGGGTAAACACATTTAGTTCTAATTATATTCAGTTCATTGGCAAAGTTCTCCAAATTTGTATGTACCTAATAACATAGTCTTGGCCGGGTGCAGTGGCTCATGCCTATAATCCTAGCGCTTTGGGAGGCTGAAGCGGGTGGATCACCTGAGGTCAGGAGTTCAAGACTAGCCTGACCAACATAGTGAGACCCCGTCTCTACAGAAAAATCAGCCTGGCGTGGTGGCAGGTGCCTGTAATCCCAGCTACTCGGGAGGCTGAGGCAGGAGAATCACTTGAACCCGGGAGGTGGAGGTTGCTGTGAGCCAAGATTGTGCCATTGCACTCTAGCCTGGGCAACAAGAGCGAGACTGTCTCAAAAAAAAAAAAAAATACATACATATATATATATATATATATATATACATTCTCAAACATGATTAATATTATAAATGAATAGGATTCAAAAGAGTAAGGATATTAGAAGTAACTTTTTTTGAGACGGAGTTTCACTGTTGTTGCCCAGGCTGGAATGCAGTGGCGTGATCTCAGCTCACCACAATCCTCCTGCCTCAGCCTCCTGAGTAGCTGGGATTACAGGCATGTGCCACCATGCCCGGCTAATTTTGTATCTTTAGTAAAGATGGGGTTTTTCCATGTTGGTCAGGCTGGTCTTGAACTCCTGACCTCAGGTGATCCGCCTACCTCAGCCTCCCAAAGTGTTGGGATTACAGGCATGAGCCACTGCGCCTGGCCACAAGTAACTTTATAAATGTGAATTTTGGTAAAATTGACAAATTCATAGAAAAATTCAACTTGCAATAATCAAAAACAAACCCCTGAAGTGTCTTAAAAGAAATTGAACCTCCAAATTAAAATATTTTCATTATGTCATCTCCAGGCCCAGATAGCTTCACTGCTAAATTCTGCCAATCAATCACTTAATAAAGTATCAGGACTTCAGAAAATGTAAGAGAAAGCCTACTCAGCTTATTTTGTGACACCAGCAGTAGTTTTGATATGAAAATTCAACCAGGACATTAGAAAAATGAAAATTACATGATTATTCTTGTATTATCTTTCAAAAATAAAGGAAAGCTCAGCTAGACGTGATGGCTCACACCTGTAATCTCAACACTTTGGGAGGCTGAGGTGGGAGGACTACTTTAGTCCAGGAGTTTGAGACCAGCCTGGGCAATATGGCAAGACCCCATCTCTACAGAAAACTAAAAATTAGCCAGGTGTGGTGGCATGTGCCTGTAGTGTCAGCTACATGGAAGGCTGAGGTGGGAGAATTGCCCAAGGCTAGGAAGCCAAGGCAGCAGTGACCCATGATCACGCCACTGCACTCAGCCTGGATGACAGAGTGAGAACATGCCTCCCCATAAGGATAGTCCCCCCAAAACAGGAGTGTGGTCCTCCCTGTCCCGTGCCTGGCCAGGTTCTTCCCAAGGCCAAGACCTCCAGTAGCATGAGGGTCTCCAAAGAGCCCAGGGCAACAGGCCTTTCTCTGGGGGTTCCAGGAGCTCAGGGTCTGGCCAGCCTGTCCCCAGTCCAGGACAGACCACCAGTTTGGTGGTTATTCACTTCCAAACCTTCCTTTGGACCCTGATCTCAGGGCCCATGGTGCCCAGAGTACTGCTTCAGGCAGGAATGCTGGGCCCCCATCCCTTGAACAACCACCCTGGCTACTCCCAGGACCATGGACAGAACTGGCCCTGCAACCTCACTGGGGCCCATCATTGACCCCTGCCCAGCCCTCTGAAGACCCACAGGCAGAGCCCAAGTCACCTCCTGGTCATGGTGGCCCATGTCCTATCCCTGTCAGGTTCACTGACCTGCATGATCTGGAAGGAGCCAGGGCAGCAGCCTATCCTGCAAGCTGCCTGGAAGCCCCAGATGGTCCCTCAGCCAGCTGAGACCAACATCCAACAGGAAGCTGGGTACTTGGAAGCCTCTGGAGGGGAGGGTATGTGTGGCATTCTCATAGCTCTGGCCAGCCAGCACAATGTCCTGTGTCCTCATGCTGACCTGCTGTGGGAGAGAGTCCCCTCACATGGCATAAGCCCCAGGCCCAGAGGGGTCTGATCTGGCCTCAACCCGAGCCTGGGGTCTCCAGCAGCCAAGGTGATCACCAAAGGGACTGAGCCAACTGTGGCTCTGACCAGTACTGGAATCTAGCCCAAAGCAGGGCGAGCCCTCTCAGAGCAGTGCATGGCTACTTGAGACCTATGCAAACCCCAGAAGGCCAAGTCAATGACCTTAGGGGGCCTGAATAGCAACTAGTCATCTTGGTGATGAGTAGGCAGGTTGGCCACCACCCTCGTTCATACAAGGAGGCAGGGATGGTCAGGCTCCAGGACCTGAGTGGTCACCTGGTCACCCATGAGACAGATCCCTGAGGCCAAGAATGGTGCTGGGCCCTCCTGCTCCAGGCGGTAGGCTGGAGGAAGCTGGGCAGGCCTGGGCCCAGGAGGCTGGGTCCCTCTATCTGCCATCCTTGGCAGGCCATCCCCAAAACTCAGGAAATGTGGCCTTACTCAGAGCAAGGAGGCTCTAAGGTGGGGACCAGAGTCCCCAGTCTGAGTTTACCATTTAAAGCTTCCCTCCCAGGGACAAGGGATGCACCCCTGGCCTCATGGACAATAAATTGTTTATATGACTCACCTGTTCTTCAGGCACCCAGAGTTGTCCGCAAGAAGCACCAGACACCCTGGAGCAGGTGGGAGGAGAGGGTGGCACAGTCCAGCCTGCCTGACCCACCTCTGCCTTGCAAAGCCTGCAGTAGGGCCTAGGGCCAGACAAAGCCAAGGTTCTCATATACTTCATGTAAGGCCATCAGGGAGGCCTCAAGGAAATCTGGAGTGGGGAGGTCAAAATTCCCTGATTGCCCCCTCAATTTGTGGGGGTAGGGGTGAACATGAGGCCAAGGGAACATCCCTTGTCCCTGGGAGGGAAGCTTTGAATGGTGAACCCCTGTAAGGCCATCAGGGAGGCCTCAAGGAAATTTGGAGCAGAAAGGTCAAAATTATCTGATTGCCCACTCAAACATCCTAATCCTACATCTTAGGGTCTTATTCTTTCTCTCTCTGGGCCTGACTCTTCAAAATTACCATTGACCACGAGGCTGCTTCCCTCCCACAAGCCAAACCAACCACCTGCAACCATGCCCCTGCCAAGATGAACAAGAGAGGTTATACTAGAACCTAAGGGATCCCAAATTGGATGACCTCTCAGAAACCCATGGGCAGTTACAGTTCTTACCAGGGTCAGATTATGGTGTCTCCTTCAAGCCATCCCCACCTTCTGTGCCTGCCCCTGATCTTCACCAGTGGCAGGTATCCACCCCACGCAGGGATCTGGTGATTGTGGAATCAGGTTCCCCTGGAAGACAATTGCCCTATTCCATTAACTGTGGTTTGGGCTCCAAAAAGTAAACACCACAAGCTGGCTCTGTTGGATGTGGATGCTAAAATCTCCCTAATCCCAGGAAGCACTTATGCTTTCAAAGGACCCCTCAAGGAAATGACAGGCTTGGAAGGAAGATTAATAAGCCACTTAACTATTAAAGTTATTCCCCATGGCCGGGTGTGGTAGCTCATGCCTGTAATGGCTCAGCACTTTGGGAGGCCGAGGCGGGTGAATCACCTGACATCAGGAGTTCAAGACCAACATGCCCAACATGGCAAAACCCCATCTCTACTAAAAATACAAAAATGAGCCAGGTGTGGTGGCATGCGCCTGTAATCCCAGCTACTTGGGGGGCTCAGGCAGGAGAACTGCTTGAACCCGGGAGGCAGAGGTTGCAGTGAGCCGAGATTGCTCCGCTGCACTTCAGCCTGGGCGACAGGGACTGCGTCTCTAAATAAATAAATAAAGTCCCATTTTGCTAAGAAATACTTCTGTTCTTGTTCCCATTATTGAATAGACCTTCTCAGTCAGCAGGGAACAAGCCGAAGGCTTTTACACTGTTGGTAGGCGGGTTCCCTGTGGGAAACAGCCTTGCACTATCCAGTTGAGGTGGGAGATACACCACTGCTCTGGCTGAGACAAGGCACTGAAGGGTGCCAGCCTGTCGGGACTGACTTAGTAAACAAGGGGTG